CCCCCCGCACATCCCACCCCACATTCCTTACTCCACCCTACAGGTTGCCTCTCCGGCTGACCTGCTGACAAGCATGTGACCATGTCTCCATGATTCTGTGACCTGAGTCTTTCCAGCCTGTGTGGGTCAAGGACAAGACCACCTCCCTCTGACCAAGCACTGGACCCACCGTCTCCTCCACTGCAAAGAGCTTGACGATGTTCTGGTGGTTCAGCTTTCGCAGGACATCAAACTCCCTCACCTGCACCTCGCGGGGTCGCAGGTAGCTGGCGGTGTTGAAGACCTTCACGGCAACCAGCTCCCCGGATTTCTGCCATGGGGGGCACGGGTAACGTAAGTCCCACCCCTGCCCAGGGGAGCACACCCGCCCCCAGCCCTCCATGTAGCTTCCCCCGACCTGCCTGAGACCAGAGATGAGCAAAGGCAGCCTGGTTGGGGGTGGGGGCTCCCAGCTCCCACCCAGCTCCTTCCTCAACCCAGAGGGAATGAAGCAGGTCCAGCGCTGGTTGGGGACAAGGGCTTGGCGCACCAGATAGCCTGCAGGGGATGGTCTGTTGTTACTATTACTGTTTCTGTTGGCAACAACCACAATGGCAGCTACCACTCCCTGGTGCCAGTAGCAGAGTTGGGATTGGAACCTGTTCTGTCTGACTTCACCTCTTGAGACAGGACGGTGCCGTGTGTCTCATACAGTCAGTACAGCACAGCGACAAAGGCAGGGCAAATCCAAACAAGTCCTACTTCCCACCTCTGCTACTCCTAGATTTGCTGCCACTTCCCCGGGATGATGGCTTTGTGTCTTCCTCTCTTTCTCTCCAGTCCCAAAATGTGCTTGAAGCAAGCTCTTAATCCCTAAGGAGCCCTTTTCAGCTCCCCACACCTCTTGCCAAAGCCCCCGGCTCCAGAGCCTGCAGGACAAAGTCCAGAGGCCTCTGCCCTGCTGCCCAACAAGGTGCTGACGGGGCCAAGAACTTCACGGATGCGGGGGCCTGGCCAGGGCCGTGTCCTACCTTGTTTCGGGCCTTGTACACACTGGCAGTGGCCCCCTGCCCCAGCAGGTCGTCGGTGTGCCATAGGTAATTGACAGTGCTCTGCATCTCCTGCCCCCGGCTGGCTGGCCGCCTTCTGCCTAGAAAAAGAACATGCAGGGATCGAGCATTCTATTCCTGAACTGGGGTGGACACTGGTGGCCTTTTGGGTGGCTGTGCCCAAGACCATCCCACAAAGGGTTCCGTGTGGCCATTCCGGGGGCGATGGAGGTGGCGGGGTGGGGGAATGGAGGAAACGTGAAGCACAGAGAGGAACTTCTCGAGAAAGAGTGGCCCCCGCCACCCCGGGGCCCTCAGCCCTCAGCCCTCAGCCTGCGCCTGTCCCACCACAGGGCACTCTACTTGTCCTCACTCCCCATCTTCTCCCGCCACCTCCCCAGATGGGCCATTCTGCAGAGACGAACCTTTTTCTCTGTCACCTCTCCCAGGCACTGAGAATTCTGGGGTTTTGACATCCAGGCCTGGGATTGTCCCAGGAAGCAGAAATAGTGCTTGAAGGAAGGGCCCCAGGTCAGGCAGCGTCAACCACACCACCACAAATCTCCAGGATTGCAACATGAGCCTGGAGCCCTTCTCCACCCACTCGCCTGGGCCCACCACTTCCTGCTGCTGTGAGCTAACAGGCGGCCAGTGTGGCCAGGTCAGCGCCGCTCTGGAGAGGAACGACACATCCTGCTGCCGGCAGTGTGTGTGAGGATGCGCGCATGTGTGCGTGGGAAGGGGGTGGGGAGGCGGCGAGATACCAGCAAATCCAAGGGCTCAGGAGTCCCGGGGACCATCTGAAACCCTCTCCAGCTCCATTCCCCATCTTTGCCCCCGTCCTGTGCTTTCAAGGCCAGTTCCTATAAAGCAACTGGGGCCAGGGAGTGCAGCCTCAGAAATTAAACTCAAATTCTCTGAAAAATAGGCTCAGGTCTGGTCTTAACGGGATGACTGGGAGAAGGAACATGAGAAGGGCCACTACCTCTTAAATACTCTCTAATAAGGCTGGTCCGGACAGGGTTCCTTCCTCTTGTAACATCTGATCAGTTCTCAACCCTAGGGTCACCATGCCTGGAATCCTACAGTTCCTTAGCTTTCTTTGAGCCTTCTCTCTATAATCTTTTAAAAAATGCAATTCCTTGAGCAAGAGGCCACTTCAAGAGACTCAGTGGCCAGTTCCTAGATTCAGAAAAGGTACCTAGTGTGTGCATTTTGCAAAGGCAACGGAGATACAGAGAGACAATATATTAGCTCATCAGCTTGAATGAATTGATCAGGTAAATTCCTTACCCCCTCACCCTGGAGGCTGAGGAAAAATCATGATGCCGGCAGATCTGGGGATGTGAAGCCTGACAGAGCACACGAAAAGCAAGGCCAAGGGGTCCAGTCTGGGGAGCTGGTGGGTGGCAGATTTCACTACCTTCATAATCCTCCCCAGGCCTGGTCCCCAACATGGGCCCTGGTGCCGGGGCAAGGTGCAGCTGAAGACCGAGGGAATGCACAGTGTTGTGCAAAAGGCAGAGCCCTGGAAGGG